TTCTAGGTTACTAATAAAAGAAATGAAAATTAAAAACAACTGAGATTTCAGCTTATATCCAGCAAGTTAACAAACATAATAAAAGAAGCAATTGTTGCTGCTGGGTGGGCTATGGGAACATAGGCCCACTAACATACAATTTATAGAGCTTGGTTCAAACATTTGGGAAAACAATTCAGGCATTCTAGAAAAGCCATGCAGCTGTTCCTACCTTTTAATTCAGCAACCCTATTACTGGGTATAGTGCTCAAAGAGGTTGAAAACAACAAAAAAGTTCTCATATATAACAAAATAATCACAGCAACACTTTTACAGCAGCAGAACACCTGGAAACAAAGTTGGCATCCATCGAACTCAATGGACACATTTTGGTTCATCAGTGTTGTCACTGTTCAGTCGCTTCAGCTGTATCTGACTCTTCATGACCCCATTTGGGATTTTCTTGGCAGAGACACTGGAGTAGTTTGTCATTTCCTTCTCCAGCTCATTTTACAGAGAAGTAAACTGAGGCAAATGGGGTTAAGTGAATTGCCCATGGTCACACAGCGAGTAAGTGTCTGAGGCCACATTTAAATTCAGGTCTTCCTGACTCCAGGCCCAGAGTTCTATCCACTGCACCACCTAGCTGCCCCAAATGTATCAGTGTAACAGAAGACAATCACATGACATGAAATGATGAATGAAAATAAATTTTTTTAAAAAAGCTTAGAAAGCCTTGACCAAGCTAATGCTGAGAAAAAAAAAAAAAGAATGGAACCAGGATAACAATATACACAACTCAAAGTGATCTGTGACGTCAATGATATGAATGTTCCCTCCAGTGACAAAAATCATAACCCATCCATGCCTGCATGTTAGTGTGTTTCCCATCTATGTCCTCTCGAAAGTTTACCACAGTGAGTCTACCAGAGTTTCAGAGGTCTTCCTCACCTTTGAATGACAGTTCTAGAGAAAATCAGAAAAGCACAAATACTGTAGAGAATACTGTAGAACTTCAAAACGAGCAGTTAAAATGCAGGCTAAATACAAGAACCAGCCTTGACTCCAACCAATAGATGATGAAAGCACAAAGGGGCACGGGAAGGGGGGACTACAGGTGCAGAATGCTACCTATGCAGTTAGTACAATTGCTGCAGGAAAGCTGGTTGTGTTTAACTTTTTCTTTAGTACAGAGAATGGTCAAAGGAAGGATTTTCTATAGGGTTGGCAGAGGAAAATTATTAGGAAATGATTAGCATTTTTAAAGGAGTTTATTAACCTAAAATTTTTTAAATACAAGAATCCTTTTTTAAAAATGACACAAAGCATCAGAAGTATACATTTATGAAATCTAGGGGCTCATCAATGCATCTTTGAATTATATTTGAGTGCCTACTATGTGCAAGACTAGGACAGCCAAGTGGTGTAGTGGATAGAGTGATGAGCATGGAGCCAGGAAGGCTCATCTTTCCAAGTTAAAATCTGTCCTTAGACACTTACTAGCTTTGCGACCTTGGGCAAGTCACTTAACCTTGTTTGCCTCAGTTTCCTCATCTGTCAAATGAGCTGGAGAAGGAAATAGTAAACTACTCCAGTATCTGTGCCAAAAACAAAACAAAAGAAAAACCCAAATCGTGTCAGGAAGAATTGGACATGACTTAAACCACTCAACAACAAATGTGCAAAAACTATTAAGTATTGTTTAGTCCATAGTCTTTGTTTCTGTTTCAGTGTCAACTAGGAGAAAACCAAGTGCATCCAGGGAGCTTTCTCTAGTCTCCCAAAGGGCAAGGTTTTTATATGGGATTAAGTATGGATATTTGGAAGGAAAGCAAATGACTTTTCTGATCATAAAGGGAGCTCCTGACAGCGAGAAGAGCACTGCCCCTGGATTCAGAATCTGCCTCCTTTTATGACTTTGGGCAAATCACTTCATATCCCCAGGCCTCAGTTTCCTCATCTGTAAAAGGAGGCGATCGAGACAGATGACTTCGGAAGGTAACTTCCAGCTCTAGAACTTTTATGACTTCTCTGAGCCTCAGTTTCCTCATCTCTAAAAGGAGAAAGTTGAGCTAGATGGCCTCTAAGTTCCCTTGTAGTTTTAAATACTATGATCTTATGATTCCAGCTCTGTGACCTTGGATAAGTCACCTCACTTCTCTTCACCTCAGATTCTTCATCTACAAAATGAGTTAGGCAAGATGGTTTCTGAGGTCCCTCCCAGCTCTACACCTATTATTCTGATTTATGAACCACATTTAATTATCCTATGGGTGGAATACTTGAAAATGCCCCCCACACTCCCAAATCAAAATCCTTTCCACCCCTCATGCCTCCACTCAAATGGCATCTCCTTCCTGAACCCTTCACCGATTCCTCACAAAGGGATCTGTTTCCCACTTTTAAATTTTACTCAACTCTCCAATGGAAAAAATGTTGGGTTTTTTTTTTATATCATGGCAGCTTAAGTGAAGCCTATGGACCTTTTCTCAGAATTTTTTTTTAATTTGAAATTTCTCAGAATTTTTTTTTAATTAAAGGAAATGTTAACTTTCAGTTAGAGGTTAATGAAAATAAAGGAAGCATTTTTCCCGTCCAGGTTCAGACTCCCTAAAAATCTATAAACTGGACCATTGGGGGAGCTGTGGAGCCCAGGTTGAAAACCCTATATTATAGTATGTAATTGCCCCTTGCTAGAATGTAAACTGCTTGAGAGTTTATAAAAACAAAACAAAACGTGTGTCTACCATTTTTGTCCTCTCCTCTTGCTTGTCCTCAAACACTCCATAAAATGTATGTTGCATTAAAATTCTGGCCTTCATCAGAGCCTAAAATTTCCTGCTAACATGAAAACTGGTCATCCTTCAAGCTTTGCCTTGTACCAAGACAAACACATTTACTGAGACAAGAAAAGCAAAGTTAGATCCTCTAAGACCAGGATAGGGAGACACTATTCAGTCACCTCATGTCTAATCATCTAAACCTGAGCTCAATTTTATAGTCACTCAACATTCTTTTAAGCCTGACTCTGCTTTCAACAAGCAGATGAGTTAAAACATGGCAGGTATGATGCTATCTTCAGATAAGGAACTGTGTATCCCCCAGGAACTAGGCGGAATACTGAAGGGGGTGAAATGAGATTCTCACTAACTTGTTTGCTTGATTGGAAAAAGCTTGAGGGGATAACATCTTCTATCTCAATTTTATTACTATAGATGTTTGGATTAATAACAACTCTGCAGATAATCCTCAGCCATTACTCAGAGACCACAGGGGAGGAGGGGAAATTCTGGGAAAGGTACAAACCAAACATTCGAAAAATCATAGACTCATAGGATAGGATTATACACTTAGATCTAGAATGGATCTCAGAAGCCAACAAGTCCAATCCTTTTATTTTACTCATATAGAAACTGAGGCAGAGATGTGAAGTGATTAGTCCATGGTCACACAGCCAGTCAGAGGCAGAATTTGAATTCGGGTTTATTTTATTGAGTTTCAAATCCCTTTAGCATTAAAAAAAAAAACTCCTGCCTAATTTTTAGTTCTGAAGAAATAACTTGCTTCCCCTTTAATTAGGGAAGTATCTTGCTTTTCAAAGTGATTTAAGTTATTCTGGATTCATTTTCCCCACTTGGGTGCCCAATTAAGCCTTGAAAGCTTCTAGACGTTTATAGCACCCATTATTATTATTGAAGCCTGGCATTGAGAGCATCCCCAGGCAGCCTGGGAAATCTAAAATGCAGTCAAGTACAAAAGTTGGATTCCTCTGATAGCGGAAAGGATTAAAAATAGATGTCTGTCAATGAACGGATATATTCCGAAATCCTCATCAATGTGCTCACCCATCCCTGTAAGAATCTGTTAAGATTCTTCAGATGCAAAAAGAAAACTGTTAGGCAGCTGAAAAGTGACTGCCAGGAGAACCAGCCCTGGTCCCAGCAAAGGCTTAGGGAGGAGGAAATAGTCTCCCCAATGCACTTTGTTAGCAACTCACCCGCACATCCATCCCCAGCCTCCAGTACCTGAGTAATCATTTTAAGTGGGTTATGCCTTGTAAGGCAGGGCCCTTTAAGCTTGCCAGAGGCAACAAGAAACAGTGGCAGCCTCCTGCATTGGCTGGCCTTTGCCTTTCTCACCTTGCCTAGAACTCCTAGGTTCTCCCACAATAGAAGTTCTTATGGCAGTGGCTAATTTTCCCAGCAATTCCTTACCAGCCTTCACTTTTTTAAAAACACCTTTCACAACTGATCTAATACAAGGGAAAGGGAAAAATCATTGAGTCTCTCACCAGCATCTCTGATAAAGGACGAACTAAATTACTTTTCTCACAAACAGAAACATTGATAAGAACTCCCTAACTGGTATCTTTAAGACAGCTTGTGGTGTGAGTCTGAAATCTTGGGGACTGTGATTTATTCTGAAATTGGAAATATTTGCAAAGAGCAGTGGTAATTGCTTTCTGTCTACCCAGCACCTTTATTTCCAAACTGACTTATTTTTAGGGTCTCCGGTTTTAAATTAATTTAAACTCACCCCAGCCTGATGAGGTAGATGTTAGCATTACCTTCCTTGGCCAAACTGAGGCCTGAAGAACTTGGGTGACTGGCCCAAGGTCACCCCGGCAGCAGGAGCCTCATGAGTAGTTGAGCCGTCACCCTCCTCCTAACCCCTCCTCGGATCCCTGCAATACAAATCTCTCTCCGGTGGCTTCGGAGTAAGAGAATTTTCCTGGAAGCCAAGTCCCCACTTCCAAGCCTTAAGTTTGGCAAGCTTGCTAATCCTTGCTAGTATCTTTCTACAACTCTGCCCTCAGCCTTGATTTCACAGCTCGGCACCCCAAGACGATGACTCTGCCTCCCTTGAACGTCAAGCTGCGGCAGCCCCCACCCCACCCCTTTACTCGTACCCAGAAGTTTCCACTCTATGATCAGAGGGTATCCCAAACAAGGACAGCTGGGGGATTGCCCCCACACCAGACCAGTACGGGAAAAAAAAAATGAGCAAGTAAACCCATTTACCGTATGCAGCCAAGGAGGACATCCTGGCTCGGGGTCTGCCCAGGCTGGCACCGGAGCTGGGCAGCGCAGCGGCGTCGGGCCCTGGCGCTGGCCGCTCGCTCCCATGGACGGACTCCACCTGGCCGCGGTAAGGCATAAGCTTCCCACTTGCAAGCCCAAAGCCTCCTGCCTCCTGAGCATGCCCAGTTCTCCGGCGAAAGCCACGAAGAAGTTTCAGTGCTGAGCTCGCCTCCCCGGGTTTCAGCACACGCCAGAAAGGGGAGGAAGGAAAAGAGAGGGGGCGGGGGCGGGAAAGAGGGAGACAGAACAGGAACTGAGCTTAGAGTAATTGGCCAGGGCAGAACTGGCAAGGGAAGCAAGGGGACGCTCCGCGGGGCAAGGGGTAGGAGGGGCAAGGAGGGAAGGTGGGCGGGGCACGGGGAAAAACTGATCCCCTCCCCCTGAGACTTCAGCCCAAGTCCGCTATGGGACCACTCATCGGCACCCACCGGAGGGACTTAGAGGTGGGGGAGGGGAGGAGTGTTCATTCACAGGGATGCTGAAGGATTTATGGTGTCTTCCGTTTCCTCGCCTTAAGCCAGCTATGCATCCTTCTAGTGATACAAAGAGGGGCTGGGAAGTGGGACTCTGCGGATCACAGGTGTCAGACACCTCTAAAACCTGTTAATCATCTACCATCTGTCTCTTCCTGTTTGTCTCTAATAACAGTAATAGATAACATTTACAGAGCACCTACTATGTGCCGGACACTCTACTAAGGCTTTAAAATGTCTTACCTGATCCTCATAACCTTGGGAGAGTGGTGCTTTTATCATCCTCACTTAACAGTTAGGGAAACTGAGGCAAACACAAGAAGTGACTGTCCAGAGTCACACACTTAGTAGGTGTCTGAGGCTGGATTTGAACTCAGTTCTCTCTGACTCCAGGCCCAGAATTCTATATACTGTGCCACCTACCTAGCTGCCTCTCTATGTCTGTCTTACACAGGAGCAAATTGAGGAACTGAGGGGGCAGTGAAATGACAAGCCCACAATCACAAAGGTAATGAAAGGGCTGAGATTTGAAGACAAATCCTCTGAATGCAGAGCCAGGCACCAAGTTTGCCTCCTACAGGCATGGGGGAGGGGGTGGATAGGGACTACACCTGTGATTTTATTGGTATGAGCAGTTCCTAGATGAGGACCTCTACCAGTGCTTGTGGGCACCTCCTCTTCCACTTATACTCCCAGAGTACTTTGAGAGGTTGGGATGAGCCCGAGTCACAAAGACAATGTGTCAGAGGTGGGAGAAGGGATTGTCTGGAAGACTTGGCAGCAGGGAGGGAGGAAAGGGAGATGGGAATCAGACGAATCCTTCTTGAACCCCCAGCTATGATACATTTCAGAAAATACACTAGTAAACCAAGAAATGTTCATTTCCTGGATCATCTTTCACCAAGGGTGAATTGAGGCTCTCTTCTGGAGTGCTTTTAATAGGGGTGTTAGCAGCTGGGGAAAACGACCATATTTGGAATTCCCACAGCATCCTTTTCAGACAGCTCCCTTGGGGCCACAGTAAAGGAAACACAGAACAGGACCTGTCCTCCTACTGGCTGCTGGCAGCCACCCCACCGCACCCCACCTTCTGCCTCTCTGTCCTTGAGAAGTCCCTCCGGCTTTGGAATTCACATGGAGCAGGTTCAATCTGGTCCAAAAAGACAGGGAAAGTTGGAGGTCCTGATAGACTCAGGCACAGGGTATCCAGGGCAAGAGATGGGAGCTGACCAGCTCTTAGATCACACAGCATCATTTATAGCATGGGCACGAAGCCAGCTACCTAGGTGAAGCTTTCCGAATGGGATTGGTAGAATGCAAAGCACACACATCAATAAAGCTGGGCTTCAGGGGCCTTTATGATCAAATGGATTGCAGCTGTAAAATGGCTTGCCTTTTTTTTTTTTTAATGAGATACAGGTGACTAGAAGAACGTCTTCCTCCTCCTCCCTCCCCTCAACATGAGTAGGTTAGGGCTGTTTTGACTTCAAAGTTTGATGCAAAAATTCTCTCTTCTGCTCATAGAAATTCTTATAAACAGCCAGTGAGGCAAAGACATAATCTCTCAATTGGGCTTCTGCATAGAATACTAGATTTTGAGCTAGAAAGGACTAAAAGTCATTTCATCCAACCTCCCTCATTTTTCAGATGGGGAAACTGAGACCCAAGAGATAAAGTAACTTATCCAAGGTCACACAAGTGATGAGTGGCATTTGGGATTCTAACTCAAATCCTTGGACTCTAAATGTGTCACTCTCTCCATTGTCCTCTATTCTAAAAACTGTCCCTGATCCTTTTGGGGTAGTGGGCGTGATAGTGAAAGCTCTGGGCCTAGATGTGAATCCCTCTACTATTTACTGTGTGTGTGCCCTTGAGCGAGTCATTTCCCCTCTCAGATTCTCAGTTGGCTCTCCTGTGAAAGGAGGGGGCTGGATTCTATCATCTCTGAGGCTCCCTTCAGGCTCTAGCTTTCTTCCGTGTTTCTGTGCACAGCTGTCCTCTACCTTCTCCTTTCCTATTTCCTTCTTCTACCCTCCCACATCACTTAGAAAGTTGTCCCCTTTCCTTCAAACTCCTAGAGGCCTACCCCTCCCCATCCCATACTCTCCACATCTGCCTGCCTAGATGTCCCAGGAGAGCACAGCGGTCCCAGTCATTGCTCTGAAGTGCCCCAGTAAGCCACATTGCAAGCCCAACATTACATTTCGCTCTTGAAAGAGCCTGTGGTGACTGCTGGAAAATGCAAATCCAGAGGAGGTGGGAGCTTCCTTGGGTCTTCAAGGAAGTCTCTTCTCCTCCACTTCAGCACTCATACCTCTCCTCCTCCATGAGGACCCATAGCTTTCTTTTCTAAATTTTTTTTTACATATGAAGTCATGCAAACATTTTCATATTACTATGTTGCCCAAAAATTTTTTTAAAAAAAGAAAAATTTAAAAATAAAAAAATATGCTTCAATCTGCACTGAGTCCATCACTTTTCTCTCTGGAGCAGGATAGCATTCTTCATCATGAGGCCTTTGGAACTGTCATGTAATGATAAGAATAGTAAAGTCTTTTACAATGGATTACCTTTACAAGATTGCTGTTACTGTGTACAATGTCCTCCTGGTTCTGCTCACTTCACTTTGTATCAGTTCATATACATCTTTCCAGGTTTTTCTGAAACCATCCCCTTTATCATTTCTTATAGCACAATAATATTTCATCACATTCATATACCACAACTTGCTCAGCCATTCCCCAGTTGATGGGCATCCCCTCAATGTCCAATTCTTGGCCACCACAGAAAGAGCTGCAATCACTATTTTTGTACATATGGGACTCGTAGCTTTCAAGCTGGAAGAGACCCTGCAGGTCATAGGATCATAGATGTAAAGCTGAAGATGTCCTCACAGGCCTTGGAGTACAAACTTCTTCTTTTACAAATGAGGAAACTGAGGCCCAGGGAAGTCAAGTGACTTGTCCAAGGTCAAACAAGGAGTAAATGACAGACTGTATTTGAATCCAGGTCCCACGACCTCATTTTATAGATAAGGAAACTGAAGGTGTAGCAACCTGTCCACTGCTAGGTGGAGGAATTCGAACCCAGGTAGTTGGATTCCAAATCCAGTCCTCTTTGCCCTGCCCTCCCTCTCTGCAAGTGCTGCCTCGGGTGAGTTTGTTCCCCAGCTTCTCAGACTACAACTGCCTATTGACAGAGGAAAACTCTGCTCCTTCCCTGGCCTCCAAGCACTTGCTTTCTCCTTTGTCTCATTAATTTTCCCCCTTTCCTTTTTCTTAGACTCTTCCACTCCCAGGTACCAGCAGCTTGTCTAGTTCCTGCCCCTGCCCCTGCCCCTGCCCCTGCCCCAAGAGCCTTGGTAAGGAGAGAAGCTGTGGGGAGGAGGAAGGGAAAGGGAAGAAGAGTGCTCAGCTGCTGCTGCACAGTATCTTATATGCAGCAGTGGAAGGAACTTCTGAGACTGGCTAGCCCCACCCCTCATTTGACTCGAGGAAACTGAGGCCCTCCGAAGGGAAGTGACTTAACCAGAGAGGTTTAGTAGCTTATCCAAGGCCACCCAGGTAGTAAAGACCAGAGGCAGAATTCTACTGCAGCAGGCGGTTTCTGCCTCCCTTCTATGTCAATCTCTGCCCACAACTCCTAAACAAAAGCCTCTTGCCCTAACTTCACTTCACTCTTGATAAAAATAATAATAACAATATCTTAAAATGTCTATAGCCTTATGTTTTACAAAGCACTTCTTTCACGACAAGCAACGAGAAATCACTGCCCCCATTTTACAGCTCAGATAACAGAGGCTCACTGAAGTTAATGGCCAAATGGCTACGAAGGTCTTGTGCACTTTTATAAAGTGATAGGAAGTCCCAGATAGAATCCAGTTTAGAAACCTTCTATTTCAATGCTTTTGTTTGACAGATGAGGAGACTGCAGCCTCCAGAAATCCAAAACATCGATGTTTCAGCCCCTCAGTTGGGCTGCCCACTTCTGTCCTGCATGTTCCAAGACTTTACTGAAATAGCAGGCTTTGGCTCATGCCAACCTTTTTTGTCTGATGCTCGTCTCCACATCAGGGGATGTGGGTGAACCACATGCATTTGATTACAATCTAATTTTCTTGGGAGCATATCCTGTGGGTGGCAGTTATGCATCCTGCTATATGACCACAGTGAATATGCAAATATCTCACTGCCCACCACCTTGTGCTCTCAAGGTTATTGCTAAATTGTCTTTGAATATTCTTCCCATTTTTAATCTCTCTAATTAATCTCTAATTAATCTTTTCATACTTCATACTCCGAGACAACAAAGAACACTGGACTTCAGGTCAAGAGACACCCAGGTGGAAATCTCAATTTTGACACTAATCGTGTGACTGGGAGGTTGGGAGTCGGAGGGGACAGCTAGGTGGTGAAGTAGATAGAGTGCTACACCTCAAGTCAGGAAGACTCATTCTTTGTAAGATGGATATAATAATACTTGGAGTACCTCCCTCATGGGGCTGTTTTGAAGATCAGTCAGTCAATAAGAGGGCAGCTGAATGGTGCAGGGAATAGAGCACCAAGTCTAGAGTTGGGGAAACCCGAGTTCAGATCCAGACTCAGACACTTACTAGCTGTGTGACCCTGAGCAAATAACTTAATCTTGTTTGCCTCAGTTTCCTCATCTATAAAATGAGTTGGAGAAGGAAATGGCAAGTCACTCT